CCATTTGCGTATGTTTGTGGGTGGGTGGGGAGGGGGAGAGGCAAGCATTCACAGCACTGGGACAATTTTTGGCCCCCTTAGTCCTTCATTTTTTTCCTCTTTTGTGAAGTACAGTACATTGCATTTGAAAGTTAACGCTGCGAAAAGGAATGGGACAAAAATGTGAAAGGAATTCACATTTGCATTTGTATTTTAACCACAACTTTCCCCCCTGCAAATTCACAGCGAATTGGATGCGAAGGGAGTAAACGATGTGCGAAACAGTGTGAAAATCATGTGAAAACAATGCAAATCTTTTGCGAACACGTCGTGAAACATTTGCAAAAACATTTAGAAAAAAATTGCTGGGATGTGCTCTCCATGATGAGCCGTGAACTTGTCAATGTCGGAGAATAAACTTTTTATAAGTTGTGTGGATTTTGAGTAATTAAACAGGAGTCCCCGAGCATGAAGTCACAAAGCACGTGATAACAACAAATTTAACTTGCTCTGCTGGGACATGGGTTATTTGCCCACTTTTTATTTATTCCATTCAATTTTGTGTAGTTTGGCACACAAAAAATCAACATTGAAATACTACGTTTAGTATTTTGTAACTGAAAGGTTTCTTTCGATCGATAAATAAAATCAACTGCTTAAATTGTATCTTCATCTAGCAAATCTTGTCTTTTCGCCAATTGTGTTTGGTGTGACATATTGGGTCTGTTTTCACTTGGGTTTCTGATGACATATCACTTTCTGTGGTCACATGGTTATTGGAAAAAGTCAGCAATTGGACTGTCCACAAATGGGCATGCAGTAGCAGTCAGGATGTCGGGGTAGGTGCAGTGTGTGCTTCGCGATGTGGTGCAGCATGCATGAGGTCCCATGGCAGTTTTTGAAGAGATTTGGTGATATTTCTCGATCGGCGTCACAAAAACGATTACCGGATACAAGGCATTTATTCCGAAATTTATGGTACATACCGGGTACATCTGCTAATACATGTAAACATTATTCACATACATGACAACATGTGGATACACGTACATGTATCTGTAGCCTATGTGTGCACATATGCAGTGCACATGTTGAGCATCCATCCAAATGGGTTATACGCTTATAAGGGAGCGCTATAACGGGAATCTACTGTAATTCAGCTGTTCGGTGTTCAGTGTTAGTCTCCAACCTCCACCGTAGCCAACTTTGATTTGCCTGTTGCATTGTATTTTGTTCAAAACCAAGAAACATACTGCGTTGAAATTTTAATGCTGTCTTCCTCAAGTAAAATGAATATTCCTGAAAATTAAAGTAATTTTCTCTCAGACTGATTTTCCTCCGCTTTCTATATTCAGAGATGCGCATGTTTGAAACCACAGAGAACAAAAACTTCCTGATGTCTTCATGTACATGCAAAGCTTGCAAAATTATTTCCCCACTACCAGAGAAAAACAGTGAAAATCTTTTCCACTTGTGGGAAAATCTGTGAAGATCTTTTCCCATTTGTGGGAAAAGGGTGAAAATCTTGTCCCACTTGGGGGAAAATCTGTGAATATATTTTCCACTTTTGGCACACTCTTTCACAATTTGTGAAATGAAAAGGAGTTCCCTGGGAAGAGAAAAAATGTGAGAAAATGTTCCATTTTGGTGTTAACTTTCAATCGCAATGTACTGTACAGTGCTCTAATATACATTTGACCTTGGATTAGATAAACATGTACATACACATCTTCCACTATTTAGGCACGATGTCAAAAAGATTTTGAGCCGCCGTGGTGCCCCACAGTGCATTTTTCACCTGTCCACGCTCTACACTCAGCACAGCGACGCACCCAGACCAGTCTCCGGCTCATTATTCCCTATTGTGCGTTCACTATTGTCATGTTAACGAGTGGCATGAATACGGAAATTGCTCTTACACAAGGCTCTCCGCAGCACGCCAATGTCCATTGTCAAGTCTTCTGCTTTCAGCCTACCCCAAACAGTTGCTAAATATGCAGATTCCTTCGCTAAAACCGTAGTTTGATCAATTGTAATGCGCCCTCTAGTCCGATGATGCATAGTGGAATGGCCGCCATGTTTGTCCTTCTTTTCCTTAGCGTGATTCTAAACGGATGTGTCTTTTTGACATCTTCGAGTTTCGATTTCGCTTCCACACCTTTGTGATATTCTGATCAAACCATAACTTATTGTTATAACTGTACATTCAATATTTATGAGTTATTGTATGTATTTTCTTGTTTTGGTGGTATTTTTCTCGTATGTGTATGCATGTTAGAGATAGTTGACTGTATGCTATTATAGTACCAAGCGATACATAGGGTCAACAGGGCGACCCTGGGATTGTTGGGGGTTCCGCAAGGCAGTACGAAGGATCCAATACCGCGGTTCCCCTCTTTGCTTAGTGTGGGTGTGTGTGGGTGGGTTTGTGTGTGTGTGAGAGTTTGTTTCTGCGTTCAATTGGGGACCCTGAACAATAGAGGACAATTAGGTCCCCGATTGACAGAGGGTCCCCGACTGACTACTGTACTATACACCAGAGCTGCCCCACACTGCCAGTGTTACCTACACCGGCCGCATTGCCCCTGGTGCCATTGTCTTCAGACGCCCTTTCAATCGGGCACCTAACCGTGACAGACGCTGATGCTCCACGGGACAATGCAACGCTGCTGTCTAGAGCAGTCCTTGCAGAGACAATACTGGGCCGTGCAGGCACACCACCGCCTGTACCTGGGACAATAGAGCCCACTGGCCTTCTGTGCTGTCAGGGCTTTCGATCTCCATACTTCACCCCGTCTTCTGATTGCCTTCTGGGCCTTTGTGGGAAGACTGCTTCAACCTCTGCAGTTCAACAAGAATCCGACGCCCCAGCTCACCAGGCCTTGACCACTGGCTCTACAACTAGTTCTCCTGTACGCAAGAAGCGCAAGCATTCTTTGTCTTCTTCTGCAGGGTCCATTTGTAAGAAGTTTCACTTCTCACAAAAGGATGATGATTCGGCCAACATATAAGTGGTCTGCATGCTCTTGGAGAAGCATTCTTCTATAGCCAGCCATCGAGAGCCCTATCCTGCTCCCGTGGCGACGGCTCCAGATTTGGACCACTTCGACTGCAGAACGTCATCCACATTTGTATCTGCATCCGGACCTGCATTCATCGATGATCCAATCTTCCTATGATGGTTTTGTCCCTTTGACTTACCCAGGTTCTGGTGTAGACTACATCTCTCTTCCTGCTCTGGCCCCTGGACACTCAATGAGACATGATTATGTTCCTCCTTCCTCTGATCAACTCCAGATGGAATGGGATACGTCCTCTGAAAATGAGGATATCTCTTCTGCAGCCAACCTTAACCCTCCTAAGGCGCAGCTCTGTCTTCTTCAGAAAGATATGAATCACATATTAAAGGCTGTCTTCTAATCAATCTACAGCTGGGGCCTCTTTGCATGCTTCTTTCAAGCGTCACATCGCTAGGTTGGAGGCGTCAACGTCAATTTTACCAGAACTTCCACTTGACCGCACATGCGTCAAGATGTTTAAAGTTCTCACCGGTGCCAAACAATGGCATCCATACCCGCCCAGGGCTTGATAGGGAGGACTTTGACAACTTCCTCTTTGTCCCTGAGATTACAACTGAGGCTAAAGATAAACTTTCCTCTGACGCTCACAAGCTTACAGGAAAGTCTCCATTTAAAGACAAGGACAAGTGTTTCGTTGAGTATACGCTTGCTAAACTCGACAAAGCCACATGACATGGTCTTTGCTGCACTGCGTTTATGGCACTCCTCTCAGTACAGTTGACTCTCATTACGAAGTCCACCAGACCACGTAGAAACATTCATTGTATCCGAAATTTTAAAGTACTTTCAATGGATGAC